GTCCGTACGTCGACGTACGTAGTACGTAGTGTGTGTGTGTGTGTGTGTGTGTGTGTGTGTGTGTGTGTGTGTGTGTGTGTGTGTGTGTGTGTGTGTGTGACCGTGTGTTGCGTGTACATGAATGAATGAATGCGCGTGCTTGTGCATGAATGCGCGCGCGTGCATAGCCCTGCCAGTGAGGTGGGCGGGTGGCGTGAAACGTACGTGTGTGTATCCACAGCCGTTGATGCGTTTGAGTGACGACATGCGAAGAATGGAGCACTGCGGCACGTCCCGCTCACACTGCAGCAGCAGTGCGTTGCAATGTATGAGGTCACAAGAGGTGTGGGTGGCGTGCATGGCGTGTTGCATGATATGAGTCGATGACAAGGTTGCGACAATTAACCGTGGGTGCTTTGTACCGAGACAAGGCCCTGGATGGTATCACGCAGGCATATACACGCATGCAGAAGTAAACATACACACGCATACACACACACATACAGATATAAACACGTACAGATAAACATGCACACACACACAGATAGACAAATAAACACACCCACGCATGCACACATACACACATACGTGGTTGTGACAGGCGTCTGTGAGGAAGATTGTCATGTCCCGTAAGGCCTTTGTTTCAGCCGTAAAACTAAGAGAGGGATGTTGTGGGTTGGAGTGAGCAAACGAAAGAGGAGCAAGGAATGAATACACAGAAGGAAAGACGGAAAGACAGACAAACACTCAGGTACAACGATACACAGGAAGAAAGGCAGGCAGATATCCCAGACAGCCCCCTCCCCCCACATCCCACACACTCCTCCGTTTAACTCACGCGTCCTTGAGCGCCTGTGTTGGGGTGGCGAGGTTGATTAGGTGTTGGAATCGGGCAACGGCAGCATCGTAGAGCGTTCGGTCCGCAGCAAGACGGCCCATCACGCGGTGGAGGATGCGGGGCACAATTGGCAGCAGCGACACAGGCAGCAGCTGCAGAGGTTGGTGGAGAGAGGGGGGGGGGGGAGGGACGTGAGTGGGTGGTGGATGGTGGATGGAGGGGGGGGCCTCAGCAAAGGAAGGAGGAGAAAAGGAAGAGAAGACACGGCGGACAGACAGACACACAGACACACAGACACACACATACACTCCCCCCCCTAACACACAGACACACAGACACACACACAGACACAGAAACACACAGACACACACACACACACAGACACACACACACACAGACACACACACACACACAGACACACACACACACACACACACACACACACACACACAC